ATGTTTACACCGTAGTCAAAGATTGAATGCCATAGTTCATGCATGTTGTATCTACTGCATGCTTGACTTAAAATAGCTTCGGCAGTCTTTAGGCCTAAGGGCAAGAATTCTGTCTTATCGGTAAGGAAAAATACAAATTTACATTTGGTACAGTGCTAAAAATTGGCCAATGTTTTTATCTACGATCACAACGCTTTTAGCTCATTTGCTATGTAAACAAAAACGACCATGTAGTGTTTGTGTAATAATACTAGTTGTCAGACGACCTCTCAAGGCCACTCGCACAATGGATATTGCGCACGCGCACATCGTCTGCATTCTTTACAAACATGGCCGCACTCTTTGGCTGCATAACTGAGTCTGTCCGGGAGATTTTGCAGATCTCTGGGCTGACTCTGCAGTCTTTTCTCGTCTTCTCTACGGCCTTTACTCTGGCATGTTACCTTTTGAAGCCCCGCAGGGTCCTGCCTCCCTACCCGGCAGGACGTGTGCCTGTTCTCGGGCACCTCCTCGCCTTGGGCCGAGCGCCTCACCTCAAGCTGACGGCGTGGAGGCGGCAGTACGGGGACGTCTTCACCGTCAGGATGGGGATGGAAGATGTGGTGGTTCTGAACGGCTACACTGCCGTCAAGGACGCGCTCGTGGACAGGTCCGAGCTGTTCGCCTCCAGGCCGACAAATTACTTTCTTGATGCGCTGCTTGGTTTTGGAAAAGGTAACCTTCTATTTGTGCTTTTCAGTGAACTCACAAAATTGTCTTACAACAGAAACTATGCCATTCTGAAAGGCGGGCGAGGGGACTATTTCGGTCTTTTGACAAAAAGGTTCTTGAAGTTTGGTGTCCTGTCAGCAGAAGGTGTTAAAGTAAATACAACATGTGGTATGGTACGATAACTGATGACCTGTTAACTGTTGCTGCAGACATAGCTTCTGCCAGCTGGGGGACGGAGTTCAGACAGAGAAAGAGGTTCGCCACCGCCGTCCTGAAGAACCTGGGCATGAAGAGCGGAACTGGCAGCATTGAGGTGAAAATCCAAGAAGAGGCGAACTGTCTACGCAACAGGGTAAGAAGAAAAAAAAACTGTTTAAGATTATCATCTTTCTCCTCAAAAAGTTGGTATCAAGTTTTTGTGTTTTATGCATTAAAGTGATATGTTTTATCATATTTATCATAAATCATGTATTTTTCTTACTAAATAATTTTGACCTCTTAAATATGTGGTATTTGATATAGAACCTTAATTGATTACGACATTAAGATCATTTCCATCTAGACAAACTTATGACAGAAAAATCTGTTTAGGTTGCAGAATACAATGGAAACCCCACTGACATCACCCATGACGTGACCGTAGCGGTCGCAAACGTCATCTGTTCCATGTTAATGGGGAAGCGGTACGACTACCAGGACGAGACGTTCCGGGAGCTGTCAGAGGCGGTTGTCAGGGTAGCGGTTGAAGCTGGTGCTGGGCAAATCCTCAGCGTCTTCCCTTTTCTACGGTTTGTTCCTGTTGGTAGGTATGATGCTTTGATATTTTTATTTAGTCCAGTAGATAACATGAGTCTTAAGTTTTAAAAAAATCATTTTAAAAGCATCGTAACGTATTATCTTTCATCATGTTGGTAGGTGGGAAATAGGCTGAGCTATTTTGTGACAAAAAAGTATTTATGTGTAGCCATACCCTTTGATGTGTTACAGTGAACAGAGCCGGCATGAATGCTCTATATGAGGCCTTAAAGATCACAAATGTGTTAAGAGAGGAGATATCTCGTCATCGCGAGAACCTGGATCGCGAGAACCCGCGAGATTTCCTCGACTTCTGCCTGCTGGAGGTTGAGAAGCAGGAGAAGGTGGAGGGTCTGACAGAAGAAAACGTCCTGTACATGGCTCAGAACCTCTTCTTGGGTGGTGTAGAGACAACCACCAACACGCTAATGTGGAGTCTGCTCTACATGACTCTGAACCCAGACACCCAGAAAAAGGTACATGTACTTGTCAACACGTGTACTCTATGTCAGGTGTGCCTGGAAAAATATACAACAGAATAAGCAAAGCTTAAGGCTATGCTTTAGTCATTTTTGTTTGAAACTTCATTTTCTCTTCCTTTGCATCCCCTACTGACTGCCAAACATTGATAATCTTTGCATATCTTGTGACTTTTAGGGCACCTTACAACCTCCCTTAACCGTGACTTGAATCATTCATACTTAACAGGTGCAACAGGAGCTTGATGCTGTTGTTGGTGAGAGTCTGCCCACCCTGTCCCACCGTTCCCAGCTGCCCTACGTGAACGCCTGTTTGCTGGAGGTCATGAGGATCCGGCCCATCATACCTCTATCGGTCCCCCACGCCACAACAGAAACGGTCAAAGTTGAAGAATATCAAATTCCTAAGGAAACCCAGGTATTGATAGGTTTGATAAGATTACACATTCCTTTTTGACGTTACTTTAATAGTCCCTTTACTTATAAAATAAAGGCCACGATGATTTAATTTTTAGATGACATCCGCGCGCACATTGATTTTGGCCTGTTCAAAATTAAATACCTTCTTCGAGGCTCAAGTCCGGGTGCCATCCTCCGTAGTCCACGGTTGTTAGCGACAATATGGAGCCGGCGGTTACTATGGAGGACGGCACCCAGGCTACCAAAAGGCTTCATGGAACAGCAGAACTCAGTGCGGTGCCAACAGATGGTAAGGCGTGGTTTAGCAGCATGTTTGGCTGTATTTATAACTAGCCCTCTCGCATTAGTTATAAAGTCTTCAGAGGATATCAACCATAAAGTTAAGTCAGTGTGGACTAAGTGAGAGTTAACTTCACTCAGAAGCGGTCCTTTTCAGCTGGGATTGAAAATTAATTGAAATATTATTGTTAATGCTTACTGTATGCGCGTGCATATTTTGTTTTGATCCAGATACTACTGAACCTGCACTCCCTCCACATGGACCCCGCCTACTGGCCTGATCCGGACCGGTTTGACCCCGGAAGGTTTCTGGACTCGGCAGGAAACGTCATCAACAAGCCTGAGTCCTTCATGCCTTTTGGAGGAGGTAAGGCTAAAATGTATCATTATGAGAACCGCAGTAATGATAGCAGACTTTCTATCAAAGGGTTGGCTGGTGTCACAACTCTTTATTCTTCATTTCCAGGCCGACGTGTGTGCCTTGGGGAGCAGCTGGCTAGAATGGAGCTGTTCCTGTTCTTCTCGACCCTGCTGCAGTCCTTCAGCTTCAAGTCGCTTGATGGCGCTCCCACTCCCAACACTGACGGCGTCTTTGGATTAACGTTGAAATCGCATCCTTTTAAGCTCTGTGCGATCCCGCGTTAGTTTGTAGGCTAGATGTGTGAGAGATGACGTGACTCATTTAATTTTCTTCTAAATAGTAAAATGTATCTTTAGGTACCTTTTTAATTGATGTATCATCGGCAAAGATAGGGTTGCGGTAGCAGTAGCTATACTATAATGCTTTAACGGACATATGTATACCATATGTGATCACAATAAAAGAAAATAATAGGCTCTATACACTGATATGCATATGGAAGATAAGACACCATGAAAGAGTGTAAAGCTTGACAAATAAAAACGGAAACTAAACGGAATTGTGCTGATAAGAGTACTAGTACACGTATATGTAAGGTACTAGAAATGACTTGAAAAAATACCAGCTGTACTTACTTGTTTATTTGTTTATGTTTATTTGAATTTACCACAAGATATACAAGTGGAGGGGAGGACAAAACAGGTGCACTGACACCTTTACAAGTTGTCCTCCTTACTGAGATATTATGCCCTAAATAAAGAGATTGCAGCATGTTTGGCTGTGAAGAGTCATGTGCCGTAATGGTATGGGTACATATGTCCCCGGACCAGATATACTGAGTCGGAATCCCCTGACATGTCTCATTTTTACAGCATTATACGTCAAACACCGGGGATTATCTCACCAGAAACCAAAGGGTGTTGGCAGTGCACGTCTTTATTTTATTTACCTTTAAAACCAACCATGAAACAGAAATTAAAGGGTGGGGTTAGTGCAGTTTTTCTTCTTAAGCATACGTTATGTCAATTAGTAAAGTGCTCATTTAAATACATGTAATGCACATTCATATCTGTATGAGCATATTAAATATATGTTAAACCAGTCATTGTTTGAAATATATCGCCATTGCTCTGGCAATTGGTGAAAGTTTTCACAATATATAATGTGAAAAATGTTGTGTAATTATCATAATACATGCAACATTTTGAAAACGTTAGCATTTATGACGACTATTTCAAAATAACATATTGATTGGCAATTTTTATGTTTCTTAGTTTCTGCAGAATTACATAAAATACAATTTTTCTATTACTAAATTTTCGAACTTAACACAAAATTGCAAAATACTCACTCCCTGTTCTTGGCAATGGTCATTAAGTACTAGTAACTATTACTACCCACTGTGGTTTGTTACATCTTTAATATCTGAACATGTGTACAGTTCTTATTAAGTAAGCCATGAGGGGCTCTCACACTGAACTTTTGGTTTTAGTTATCTTTCCCGAAAGTTTAAGCCCCCAAGCATCGAATTTTCAAATTCGAGAGCTACTTTGAAAACTTTACATAGCTTTACGTTGCTTGTCAGAAAGGTAACCTCTCGCTCGGCCCACTACTACAACAAGTTTTCTGAAAGTCTGCACAGCCAACCGACTTCTTAGTAAGTACTAATAGGTACATAACGGTTCATTCTATGATGCTAAATATTTGGGCCTACAACTTGCAAGCGTGTTTCTTGTTGTTATTAGAGGCTGAAGAGAGATTGAATGTTTAAGCATAAGACTATGTCCTGCTTTGTCATGACCACAAGCCATTACTGTAGATTTTTAGTCCTTTTGTGGTAAATACATGGGGTTTGACTATATAATTAAGGCAGCGAGCATTTCATTATGGGACAGATTTGCAACTAGCTGTTGCAGATTGAGCATCAGAATGACCCTGTCCTGTCTAATCATGACCACTGGTCATTACATTTGCTGTTTTGTACAGTAAATTTGGCTGTGAGACAGTCGGCTTTGTGCCATAAGATAGATTTCTAACATCCAATCATTCAGTTTTAACCTGAGACTGGCCCTGCCCTGTCTGATCATGACCACTGGTCATTACAGTTGCTCTTTTGTAAAGAGAATTTAGCTGTGAGGAAGTCTGCTTTGTGCCATAAAATGAATTTCTAGCATCCAGGGACTCACTGTTAGCCTGAGACTGACCCTGCCCTGTCTGATCATCATCACTGGTCATTACAGTAGCTGTATTTGTGATGGTCTGCGAATCAGTCTCAGCTTTGTATAGAGAATTTAGCTGTGAGGCAGTCGGAATAGTGCCATAAGATAGATTTCTAACATCCAATAATTCAGCGTTAGCCCGAGACTGTCCCTGACCGGTTTGATCATGATCACTGATTATTACAGCAGCTGTGGTGTTTCTGTTGGATTCAGTGATAGCCTGAGACTGACCCTGTCCTGTCTGATCATGACTACCGACCAATTCTGTACATGCTCTAGGGCCCGTTGTTGTTGTTCCCACAGCTACATATCTAGGATTTGGCCTTAAGGCAGCTAGGATTTGCTCATGTGTAAAATTTTGAACGTTGAAAGATGGAATGGTAGCCTGAGACTGAAACTGCCATGCCTGATCATGACCACTGGTTATTACAGTAGCTGTGGTGTTTGTGTTGGATTCAGTGTTAGCCTGAGACTGACCCTGCCCTGTCTGATCATGACCACTGGTCATTACAGTAGATGTGGTGTTTGTGTTGGATTCAGTGTTAGCCTGAGACTGACCCTGCCCTGTCTGATCATGACCACCGGTCATTACAGTAGATGTGGTGTTTGTGTTGGATGCAGTGATGGCCTGAGACTGACCCTGCCATGAGTCAATATCTTCATACTGGTGATCATCACCACTGGCCGATGCAGAAGCTGTTGTGTTTGTGTTACCACCAACTACATTAGGACTCGTCCCTAAAGGAGGATGCCTGGTCTTCATCTTGTACCACACTGTAAGAATGGCGGCGCCTATCAGGGCAACGCCAGTAACTGGACCACATACTGAGCCTATGAGAACAGGTAGAGGGGAACTGGGAGCAGATTCTGGTTTGTCTGAAGTGATTGCAAGGGGTGAATTTAGTGTTGATCTTGTTTTGCTAGTGTTTTCTGTTGAGTCAGCATTGCGTTTAAAGAACCAGTGATACTGAGAGGTGACCTCGGCATTGTAACAATTATTAACGCTTTCTAAAGGGTTAACAAGCTTCAGGGGCCTTGTGGCAGATGTTGAGTTTGAAGGATAAGCTGTCGGGCTATAGCTAGTATACTTTCCAAGGGGCCTTGACGTAGAAATGGAACCTGCATGATATGGGCCAGCATTGTTTTCTGTGTTACCAACTAAAGATGTTGACACTGCAGAAGAGGTTTGGATATCAACAGTTAGTGGCGACATGGTCGTCTCTTTACATAATAATGCCGGTTTGACGTCAGCAAGCTTCATTCCATTTAGTCTAGCGGGTTTGGCACAACGTATCTTGTCCTTTAATGCAGGATTTAGCTTTACTACAATCCTAGATATTTTAGCCATCCTACAGTCACAGTGCCAGGGGTTTTTATGTAGGTCTATGGTAATTCTAGATGGGAGCGAACTGATAGCTGACAGGGGAACGGCATACAACTTGTTTTCCCGAAGGTTAAGAGTTTCAAATCGGGGCAAATTTGCAAATGCACCAGGATGAATGCTAGTTATCTGGTTGTTCGACAGGTTCACCTGTAGTAGGTCGGGTAGACTTGCAAATGTACGTGCCCAAATCTTTGTTATTTGGTTTATTTGCAGATATAGATATTTTAGCCGGGGCAGATTTGCAAAGGAATTTGGCTGAATCATTGAGATCTGATTGTTCGACAGCCACAAATCTTGTAGCAAGGGAAGATTTGAAAATGTGCCTATCTGTATCTTTGTCATCTGGTTGCTGCACATATGTAGATGTTTTAGCCAGGGTAGGTTTACAAATGAATCGGGCTCAACCATTCTTATCTGGTTACAGCTCAGATCCAAATATTGTAGCTGGAGTAGATTTGCAAACGTACCAGCCAGAATCTTTGTTATCTGGTTGCCCCGCATGTACAACCTATGTATATTAGAATACAATGCTAGTTCCTGGTTCGTTACATCTGTGATGAGGTTACGCCCTAAATCAAGGCATTTCGGAAATTTAGGAGAAATATGAAGGAATTTATGTATGCTTGTGAGGCCCTTGTTGCAGTAGGTTTTTTCACAGACTAATGATGATGCACACTCGCAGTCAGCATCTGGCATGTTGGGCTCCTTTAGAATGATGAGAAGGAAAATCAGCAGGTGTCGCAGCTTTCTTGCCATCGTGGCCTGCCACCTACATAGAAAGGCCACACCAACTTTATAATATGTCTTACATCTCAAGTAGATTAACCATAATCCAATGGGAACTCTTACAATATACAGGAGAGAAATGAAGTCAGATCCCACATTTCCTCCAATAACTTTGTTTGCTAACATTATTCCTCTAAAATGTCAGAGAACAAAAATTGAGTTGAGGTGGCGTAAAAAGTCGATGATGTGATAATAACATACATGTATGTATGATTCGGGTTTCCATAGTTATTCCTCCAAAGGGTGTAACAGACAGATCTACATTACTGGCGGCATAGCGACATAGCTTGCTTTGTTAAATGTCTGAAGCTGGTTATTTGAATGTTGATAATATTGATACTGTCTATTTCTACACCTATTATTACCTCCCAAATGTAACACTTTTCTTTAAATGGTTCCTCTATTTCACCACAAACAGTCGTTATTCGACTGTCATTGTTGGTTACAGCCGACTGAATAATGTATCTGTTCAAAAACGCCTTTGCAGACAATAAGCTGAATGAACTGTGACATTTTTTGAAGCATATGACCCTGATTGTATCTACCAGACAAGGAAATAAGAAAAAATGAGTAGAAAAATATCTGCATCTAGCCCTTAAAATGTTGCTGCTGCCGTTTTAAAAAATCGACAAAATAATATATATTATAGTCATTATAGGGCTGTGTTTCGTAGCCACGTGTACGCTTCTGAATAATGCAGTTATAGTATATAAAATCCACATTAAGTGTAAACAAATAAGCTCTGTTGCTACAGGATTATTGGCTGAAGCCTTGTGACGGAATTTCTAAACAGAATGTCGCTAATAGCAGAGTTTATGGTGTTTCCAACGGACATTTTTCTTTACTAAAAGTGCCACGTCATCAAATAAGAGCAGCACGCATGTTATACGATAATTACCCTGGTTAGAACTAACCTAATCCCAAAGCAGATCTTCCTAAAAGCAAATATTATCTGATAGCCGACATTTTCTAACAGTTATTTGCCATTTAGAAAACTACACAATCTTCCATAATTTTTAGCCTGGGTTCCATCCTGGTTAGTTTACGTCCGCTCCCACAGTCGCACAACCAGGATGGAACCCAGGCTACATAATTTTAACATCTGCTTAGGGAATTACCCCTGAGTGGCCCTGAGTGTGAGAATTGACTATGCCTATGGGCGTAGCCCAGACGCTCTGATTTTGGACTGTCTACACAAGAAATTGTACCTCACCATCTGGAAGAAACATACCTTTCAGGTGGTCAAAATGTAGTTTTATATGTAGTTGGAATTCTTTTGACAGGAACGCATGTGAAATACCTCAACAACGTACGTTTTTGTAGTGCTTGTAAGGTGTGTCTGCCTCCTTTAGGTAGCTGATGATCCGCAATGCAGTGTAACAAACAACCCAGGAAATGTATTGTGTAAATCGTGGTGTTAATTGTCTGAAGC